CGGCTCATCTTCACGCTCTCTCTCTCTCTCTCTCTCTCTCTCTCTCATCAACCAACCAGAAATGGGGAAAGAAGAAGAAGAAGAAGAAGAAGAAGAAAAACCCACCAACGTCTGCGATTTCTGCAGCAATTCGAAGGCCATCCTCTACTGCAGAGCTGACGATGCCAGGCTCTGCCTGTCATGTGACAGGCACGTGCACCAGGCCAACTCGGTATGCTCCAGGCACCCTCGAGCTCTCCTCTGCAACTCCTGCTCCTCTGCTCCCTCTTCAATCTTTTGCTCCTCAGATGGGTTGGTTCTCTGCTCTAATTGTGACTTTGAGGCCCATAGCCGAGATGGGCTTTCGGCCCATCACGGCAGGAGGCCTGTCGAGGCTTTCTCCGGGTGCCCGAGTGCTGTTGAGCTTGTTTCCGTTCTTGGGTTTGGAGGAAATCAAGAAATAATCAAGAAGAAGAAGGAAAATGAGGAGGAGGATGACTACTTGTTGGGTGAAGAAGGGGGTTTTAAGTGGGAGATGCCCGAAGTGGTCAGATTGGATGATCTGATTGTGCCTGTTAGTGATTCCTGTTGTGGTTTTCAGGCTATTGGGGTTCCTCCTCTGCCGAAGGTATACAAAAAAAGTTGGATGGTTTGCATCTCAATTCGGTTGATTTGGGCTTGTGTGCTATTTCTTCTTTTGATCTCTTTAATTGAACTATATTGGTGTTTGATGGCTATTAGCTTAATTGTGGGCTATAGATTACTAAGTGTTCTTATCAGTTGTAGAGTATAAAATTGCCACCCACACTGTTAGCTTAATTGTGGGCTATTTGCTTATGTGTGATGTAATCTTCAACTCTCAACGAAAATTTGGAATTATGCTATTAGAGGAACCAGGCTTTAAAAAGATCATGCGCAAAATAGTCAAGTTTTAGGTCCATTCCTTAATCCTAATGAAAGATTTGAAATTTTGGCGTGTTGGGAGGGAATTTAGGACTAGGTATCCCAGCACAATTAGCCAATCTAGCAATTACCTTCAGCAGATTATCATCGAATATGCTAGTTCCTCATGGTGAAAGTATTGGAAGAACTTAGTAACGCTCAGTTTGTGCTCAACCATGTTTGAGTCAGGTTTGGAATTGTTGAAGTTGAAGGGTGTTCAGCAATTGCAAGAAGGGTTTAGGACTATACCGGGTAGATTTTGAGCTTATTAGACGGGTTTTAATGAAACATTTCTTAGGATTTTAGCCTTTTGGGTTGAAGATAGAAGTATGTCACAGAATTGTCTCTCGTATCATTATGTCATTACTCATTCTTAGTTCCTGAATGTTGGAAGCTTTTGCCAAAAAGGATATTACAAGTATGATTGGATATGACATTGTTGGCAAATAATTCAAAAACAATTGTTAGGAAAGGTCTTAGATACTTACGATTAATGTGTGTATTCTTTTCTTTTTGGTGATAAACTGATGCGTGTTTAGTCCCATTATGTAAGGAGCATTAAGTCACATTGCCATTAAGAGATTATTTCATGGAGTACAAGGTTAGACACATATGACAAGCGATGCTGGTGATAATTTTTTTTTGAGGTAAAGATTGGTGATAGTTTTCCCTAACCAAATTTGTCATGAAATTTGGGTTCCTCTTGTGTTTGTAAGATAAAGCTTTCCTTTCTGATATTGATGAAAATTTTCTGCTTAGTTTGATGCATGATTTGCAATCTGAGATTATTTTTTTAGGTGCATGATTTGCAATATGAGATTATCTTGGATGTTATCCTTTTTAGTCTATCCTATTATTGTTCGCTCATTAGAATATACTGTTTTAGTTCTTTCACAAGCTTGATTGTCCTATTCTCGCATACACAGTCACGTTCATTTTCCCCTTACGATTGGCTTTTGACACTATGATGGTTTTCTTACTGCCTCAGGACCGCAATTTAGCTTGTGGGAAAAATAAGGAAGAAATACTCCATCAGCTGCGTGAACTGATCAATTCCGAGAGCCCACTGGGTAATGATCATGAGGAGCTTTACCCAGAATCAGAATTCAAATCTCTCCTGCAACTCAATAATGTTGAACAGCAACAAGACAATTTGCATATCGACGTCAATGAGGTTGCAACATTCACAGAGACACCGAACTTTGAGGTTGAATCTACTTCTCATGTTCTATTCAATTGAATAAGACTGGAGTTTTATTACTCCTTTTTTTTTATAAATCAATTCTCATTTAGGCCTTCAAGTCTTAAACATCCTTTTAAAAGGGAAGATTTCACAAAACTATCTGATCGTGGCAGGGTTTTGCACAACCTCCTAACATTACAAATCATAGAAACCCCCTGAACTATACTAAATCTTCCAGAACTATTGGAAATTTTCATAAATAGCATAATGGGTTGGTAACGGGTTAGGTAACAAGTTGAAATAATCCTTTTTTATTTTTTTCCTACCCTTATATGTAAAAAGTTATAATTTAGTAATTTAAGGGTATAATTTCCTTTGCACGTGACACATAAAATAACTGCGTCATCTATGGTACTTAAGTAAGGCATGCAGGGAGCTTTTCTACAATGTATAAAATTCGGGAGGGTCTTGTGCAAACTTCCCTGAACTTCAGGAGGTTTTTGAAATTTAACCTTTACGGAATTCAGAAATCAATCAGAAACTGTTTTCTTTTGCTACCACATGAGAAAGAGTTTTCTGTTTGCAGGCATGCCAGCTCCAATGGAATAACAATGACTGGCAAGAGGCAACTGACCCAGTGCTATATCCTTATAGCGAACAATCAGAAAAATTTCCTGATGTTACCACATCCATTCCCGATGGAGCTGTGAACTTTCATCAAATTCACGGAGAGAACCTATCACCATTGACACCGAAACGAGCACTTGAGTTACTATGTCCAGACCGTGACTCTGTGATCTCACGATACAAGGAGAAGAGGAAGATGAGAAGGTCAGTATAAATGCACAACATATACAATAGGGTTAATTACACAGACCCCGTGTAGTATCGTTGTTTTGCACTTAGCCACTTACTACACCTGTAGTTTCATTGTTGCAGATAGATCCCTTGGGTTCATTTTTTCCCCCTAACTCTTGTGCTCTTGGTGAAATTTTGGCAGATATGGTCCCGGGTGAAATTAGTGAGTCTGTCTGTAGGCAAAAGAGTAAAAAAGATTTAACTCATGAAATTAGTGGTGATGCCAATCCAGTCACTTTGTAGATGTAGTCAGATGTTAGATAGCACTTAATTAGCTGCTCTTCCCTTGCAATGTGCCAATACTTATGTAACCGTTTTATTCGCTGATTAAACAGATACGACAAGCTGATAAGGTATGAATCAAGGAAGGCTCGGGCAGATAGCAGGGTGAGGATCAAGGGGCGATTTGCTAAGGCGAATCAAGAACCAAAGCTTTAGATTTTGGTAACCAACCGACAAGATACACAATTTTGCAATCTAAGGTGAATCAAGTGCCATGCTCATGATTTGGTTAAGTATCTCGTGCATATTTGGGTTTCTACTGCTACTGATCAGTATTATTGGCACAGAGCTGCTATCTGAGTGAAGCTTGTGAGCAGGTCTGTCGTCATGAATTCGACAGCCTGTTGTGTTATAGATATTGGATCACGTTATAGATTGTGTATATTTTGTGTAAGTAGTTATGAAGAGCTGTTGTAAGAAATAATGCTGATGCTGAGACTAGCAGCGCTACTGTTATCTTAAGAAAAATTTATGGAAAATCTGATTGAGAAAAAAACCCATATATTAATGGACATATTTAGTAAACAAATACAAACTCTTTACCCTCATTTGGACGTAAACATAACACAAACTGTAATCTGAGACCTGCAGGAAAACCAAGTAACACATTTGCGGCCAAATCTAACTGCACAAACAAACGACAAACACGAGAACCTACACAACCAATATCTCGATCCGCTACGATCTCTTGTGCAACGCAATAATAGACAGCAAGAGCAACAGCACATAAGCCAGAGCAGCGAACATCGAAAGAACAATGGCTGCCGTGACCTCACTGCAGAATTTTCCAGCCAAGCTGCAGATTTTGGCCCACCCGAACTCGTCATTTCCCTTCTTGAGCGCCATTGTTATCGCTGCAGCTGCACCATTGGATGTAAAGAGGAGAACGACAGTTACCTGATCGATGATATAGAGCAATGGCAGGTTTGCGAAGCTGGAACGGTTTATGATTGTTAGGGCAAAGGATACAGTAGAGAAGAAGAATGACAAGGCATTGGCCGCTATGAAGTATCTGCGGGCATGATAAGAGAATATTATATGGTTAGTTTCTCAACTTTTGTATGTCAGCTTGGGTTAATTGCGAGTAGAGCCCCTTTACTAGACTCAAGTAGTTCTATTGTTGCTGATAGATAGACCCCCTGTGCTATCGTCCAATTGCAGTTAGAGCCTTAAGGAGTGATCATATGTATATATATATAATACTTCACCTTCGGGAGGTTTATTTGTCAGAGAATAATTTTCTCTTTCCTTGACTTTAAATGAGTCAAAAAGTTTTACTCAAGGGTTCTATCTGCAACAATAGGATCACATAGGGTTTATATGGAACCGGGCGATAGTAGAAGTGGTCTATCAACAATGAACCGTTTAAATATAACATAAACATTTGTGGTGTGTCCATTCGTGGTGTTGGCTGATGTGTCATTGACGCGGTACATATCCATGTCACCGGTTATGAATTAGATATGTCGATGATTTAATTTGTAATAGTTAAAGATGTGTGTCACATGAGTGACAAATCAGCCAAACACCATAGAGTGACATGTTTACTCCAACTATAATTGATAGCTATAGCGAGTTCATGAGACGGCTTCGTCGCAAGCAAATAAAAGCAAAAGAAAATTGTAGGAAAGGATCTATGCAGGAAGGATCTATGTCAAAGTTATTAATGCACCATTGCCAACTAAAGCACACATGAATTTTAATTTAAAGGTTTTTTATTTTCTAGGCAACCATATCCTTAACTTATGGTCTATTTCACATTACCATCCTTAATTACTTAAGCTTCAGAATACTATCCCTATCTATCATCTGTTAACGTAGAATCACCCATACTCTTTTTCATCCGATTTTCCATCCAAAAAAATTATATTGATGGATTTACACACACACACACCAGCAAATATATATATAATATATATATATATATATATACCTATATATATATATACTATATATATAGTATATACTATATATATTATATATATATGAGAAAAATGGTATACTTGGTACAAGGATCGCTGGTAGTGATGTGGACACATCTTGTCCATACATCACACCTAGAGATGGAGCCTCACCAACTCCAATGTGTGGATGCTATGGACCAAGATGTGTCCACTCACGTACAAGGATCCTTGGCGCCAAGTATACCCATATCGTCTCTCTCTCTTATATATATATTATATATATATATATATTATATATATATATATATATATATATATATATAATATTATTATTTAGCAAAACTTATGTCAATTTAAATGGATAGCAAAGTGTCACCCAAACTTACTTTTTAGCTATTGAGGTTGCTAGAGATAACCATAAAACATATAAGCAGATTTTTTATATATATAAATTATGGCTAAAAAGTTTGGTAGACATCACTTAAGTTAACATAAGATCAACTCAGAGAGCAAAAAACTTATGTCAACTTAAGTGGACTATCCATTAGAGAGAAAAAAACTTATGTCAACTTAAGTGGATCATCCACCAAAGGTTTCTATCCATTAATGGTACCTAGAGATCCGCGTGCATCATATGAAGATACTTTTCATTAATGGATAGAAACTTTGGTGGAGCGCGTCCACTTAAGTGACATAGTTTTTTTCTGTGTGTAGTGGTATGTGTATCTATATAATATATATATATATATATATATATATATATATATATATATATATATATATATATATATGTTTAATTTTGTTGAACTTTGAATATCGAAGTTAAATTTCCAAATTATTTCCCATTTTAACTTTGACACCCAAAATTTTTCTTTGCCCAAAACTATCCAAAGTCTATTTGGTTTTCACTTGGATACGACAAAATCCTGTTATGGCAAAAAATACCCTTAAGGTTCACAATTAATTTAATTTAATACTCAAAGTTCAACAAAAAATTTAACTTTAATACTCAAAGTTCAACAAATTAAACCCATGCAGGGATAAAACTATCAAACTATAATACTCTGGATGGAAAATTGCCCGGGAAAAGGGCATGGGGGGTTCGATGTTGACGTAATGGTAGATATGGGCGGTCTTCTGAAAGTTGAGTAATTAAGGGTGGTAATGTGTAATGAGTCCTAATTTAGGGGTGTTTCCTTGAAAAACCCTAATTTTAATCTTTTTTTCTCTCTTAAATTCTAATTCAAAAGTTCAAACTTTCATTTCCTATTTTCCCCAAGTAAAAAAGCTATTTATACTAGATCTGAATACTCAATAACGATAATATGTAGATGGTCGTAAGACATGAATTACAATGACGTGTGAGTTCGAGTTGAATCCTGCGACAATATATGGTTGATTATAGCACCTATAAATATCTTAATATTCGGAAAAATCATTAGTTTTTTTTAAAGAAATAGCAGTAACCTAAAGACTTCTGATAGTAAATAAAGAATAATTGATATTTTACATAGATGAGAAATTAATTGGTGATTGCATGTAGACCCATGTACTTTTATTGTCATAAACTTACTGCCACTAGTTTCATTGTTACTGATAGACCCCCGGATTAAAATTTTTGACTCTCTTAACGTTGGTGAAAATTTGGAAGATATTGCTCATGAGTGAAACTTGTAATTAAAGTCTTCAAGTTCAAAACATCGATCGATGCTACAGGGAATCTATCTGCAATTAACCCAATTTATTATGATAAGACTTACACATAGGCAGGAGAATACGTCGACTTGATCGTCACAGTATCAGTATACACCGTATTAGTATAATCGTCAGTAGATGTAACAACCGTCTTAGATTGCTTAGCAGCACCCATCAGAATGGTGGCAACCAAGATTAGAACAACAGCAATACCACGAACAATAATGCCTAGTATTCGATCTGCGCTCGAAGGCAGCGAGGGCCTCGCGAAGCCCGGGCTCGGGCTAGGGAATGTGCCTGGAGTTCCATTTGGACCAGGTTTGCTTTGCATCTCCATTGAAATTTACAGGTAATTAAGGATGTGAGTGGATGCATGCTAGCTCTTTAGTTTATAGGATGTATTTATAGAAGAGCGCGTACTAATTATTAAGTAATGTAGTATAGTTGAGCATACGGTCACCATGTGGGTATGCTTACCTCCTCGAACTCTTTGGAGAATTGGTCAATGTCAACTGAGAGAGTTACACAAAGCTGGAATGGAATCGCTTCAAGGTCATTGACTGACTTACATTAAACTAGGTTTTCAAGAGCTAACATAAGATGTGAATTAAAGGATACATAATATGTGTAGAAAAGACATTGAATTATACAACAAATAATACATATAACACTCGGAATACAAATCTCATCAAAACACTGCTGGCGGGGTGTTCTGAACCATAAGAAGATTACAATTTTGTACTCCATATCGCACCTCAATGTTAAATGTTATGTCATAATTACATTAAGCAATTATGTGCTTGTAATCATAATAGACCTCTGAAATTAGCTACCATTAACTTTCTAGGAATTATACTTTCGATAGTTCTGTTATCATGGTCATCATCAATGAGAAGAGCACCTGTTCTTTTTCTGCTTTATTTTTCTCTATTTTGTTTAGCACCTCTTGTATGGTACATTTTCACATAAACTATCTTCATATTTGGTCTCAATTACCAATCCAGTTGATATTAGGCTGTTAATTAAGTGTTGAGTCTACTCACAAGTTGTAATTTAATACTATACTACAACCAAAACCGCCGTGATATTTGGAATTTAAGATGACTTTGAATGTAGGAGTCTGCATATGTCTCGCTGTTTTTGACGTGGGGAACTAGTTATACTAGTGCCAATGAAACTAATATATCCAGTCAAGAGAGTAGACTAATTATATTTTGATTAACGTGGAAAAATGCTAAGAAAATTTGATAACTAGAGAAAATAGATATAAAATATACACAAAAAGGAAGATGAGGACTTGATGTATAAAAAAAAGGAGGAGATAAAAAGGAAATATCAGAAAAAGAGAAAGCTAATATTACGTTGTCATGTTGCGCGTGCTCCGAGTTTGTCGTCTATTTTGATGTAATGCATGTGATGATATAGTAGTGATATACCAACTGATGATGATCTTTGGATTAATCTGAATTTATTCCAAAACACCCTCTCGTTCTGTTTATTCTAGACGTGGAAGTAGCGTGCGAGGACAACATAATCCAATTGATTAAGGAGGTGTAACAAGATAATTTGACGCTTAGAATCCTAAAAGTTTACTAATGACAGGACATACTGTATGAATTCAGAAGTAGCCCAGGACTCAGATAATTTTACCAAAATTTACTGGATTTCACATGACTTCTACTGATTGTATGCGTAATCTTCATCATCATCGATCTTCTTCTTTTTTTCTCTCAAAGACTAATTCTAATATGATCATATTCTAGACGGTATCTTTCAAATAATGAATTCGTTTAATTAGTATAACGGATAGAACATAGTTATCTATAGTTTGTTCTTACTCTAGCTATGTGCTGAAAATTCCTGCATTAAGGGACTCACTAGCCTAAAATGATTCAAATTGGAAAGCTAACATTTTCCTTCTTATGTTTTTCTCAAACTTGTTGGGTGTGGTCGCTGCTGTGATATCGGCTTTAGTAGTACATTTGTGAGGGAAGTTGGTGGATACTATTGTGAGTTGTGTGTCCAAGTGTTTGTGCTTGTTTGTTAATTTTCTTAGTTATAATTTATATTTTGTGGGCCATTAATTGCTTGGTTCTATGATTATATTCTTCGTTAGTATTAATCATGTGGAAGATACTTACAGATATAGGATATATATGACAAAATGAATGTGAGGTGATATGTACACATACATGCGCACAATTAACCAGTATGTATCTGATGATGCACACGTCCAGCCTCCTAGGTATGACTGAAATTATGCATGCTCGCGCTGCATGCTTGTGTGTTGTGTGCGCATTTGTTTGTGTGTAGTGCATCTCAGTGTTGTTTAAGTATGGAAATATAACCTCAATCATCACCACATTTTCGAATTTTGGTGTAGCGTCAGGGTTATTTGACATAGTATTTATAAATAAAGGTTAGGGGGCATGTTAAGTATGAAAATATAACCCTGTAAAAAAAATATTATATTAGAGTTATCTGACAAAACTTAGGGGATGATATTTGTAAAGGTTAGAGGGATGATCTCATAATGGGCTAAACTTAAGGGGTTTTTTCTAAAGTTTTACCTTGTCAAGTAATGTAATACTGTAGAATTGGCGACACAGCGATGAAGTTCAGATTTTTTGAAGCAGGGAACATTTTGGATGCTGCACGGTCGACCGCGAATGTGCACAGCACATGGAAAGTCTCTGGACTTTTCACGGTTGACGCAAGTGGCGTGGCGGTTGACCGGCAAAACCCTGTAGTGTTTTTTTGGTTTCGATCGTTGGATCTGGTCGACCGCGATGGGTTCGACGGTCGACCGCGAGTCGGGTCTGGCCCTGCTTCGGTTTCCTGCACTGTTTGGATTTCCTGTTTTATATAAATAGGAACACGATTTGTTTAGGGTTTATTGGATCATATTGATCACTTTTGGGGTAGCTTGAAGGAGAGTTTTGAGCACAGAAAAGAGAGTTCTTTTCTGAGCAAATTGTTTGTGGGTTTTGTGAGAGATTTGAGAGTTTTGTTTGAGAGGTTAGTTTGAGTGATCTTGTAATCTCTATTTTATACTCTCTTTTTTATAGTGAAAACCCTTCCCCTTCTTGCCCCGTGGACGTAGGCAATTTGCCGAACCACATTAAACTTTGTATTTGAGTTTGTGCCATTATTATTTGATTTGAGTTGCCTTCTTTCTCTGTGTTTGGTTTGGTTCCTCGGTGTACAACAAGTGGCTTACGCGCACAACAAGTGGCTTACGCGCACAACAAGTGGTATCAGAGCTCAATAAGTGGTATCAAAACTCAGGCTACGCTTGGTCTATTTGGAGGAGTAGATCACTTTGGAAGTTTGGCTAGGGTTTTGTTTGGAGTTAAATGTGAGATCTTTTTGGTAAAAATTCTCTTTTTTTAGTTTTGAATCTATTCTTCAGTTTGTTCCGCATTGGTTGTTGGTGTGTTGAGGAAGATGACTGAGAAATAAGATACTTCGGGTGTTGAGGGTGGTGCTTCTGGCGTGAAGACCATTCAAAATTTGAATATCCACTCTACAAAAATAGATGTGGAGAAGTTTAGTGGCACGAACAATTTTGGATTATAGAGATGTGAGGTTTTGGATGCGTTGAACACGTAAAATTTGGAAGATACTTTGGAATTGGATGACAAGCCATATGATAATGATGAGAAGGTTTGGAAGAAGATGAATAGAACGACGTGTGGTGTGATTAGATCTTGTTTGACTCAAGATTTGAAATATGATGTGATGAATGAGACTTCGACTAAAAAGATTTGGGAGACCCTTGAGAGCAAGTATTTGACCAAGAATGTGAAAAATTGCTTGCATTTGAAGAGGAGGCTTTATCGCTTTCAATTGAAGAAGGGAACCTTCATTGATGATCACATAAACCACTACACGAAGCTTCTTGCGGATTTACCGAATGTGGATGTTATGATAGAGAATGATGATAAAGCTTTGTTATTGTTGAGTTCCTTGCCAAATGAGGAATATGAGACATTTGTTCTTACCCTAATTAATAGGAAGGCGTCCCTTTATTAATAGTGAGGTTACTGCTGCACTTGTGAATTATCAGCTTCGAAAGAAAGATAAGGAGTCTACAAGTGATACAACAACAAAGGCATTGATCGTAAGAGGGAAGAATCCAAACCGAAAGAATAGAAAGTCACAGTCTAGAGTAGGGCATCCTACAGTTGGCAAAGATCAATGTGCTTGGTGTAAAGAGACTGGTCATTGGAAGAAAGATTGCCCAAAGCTCAGTGATTGGATGAAGAATAAGCAGAAGGAAAAAGGAAAGCAATCATCATCAGAAGCGAACATCATAATATCAGATGGTAATCTTTCTGACTCATCTGTTTATTCACTTTCTATCAGTCCCACATGTTACTATTCAAAGGAATTCGAGTGGATATTGGATAATGGTGCGACCTATCATGCGTGCCCTAGAAGAGAATGGTTCACCAGTTTTGAGAAGCTGGAGAGTGGTGTGGTGTACATGAGTGATAACCGTACATGTCAGATCCTTGGGATAGGAAGAATTCGCATCAAGATGTATGACGGGATCGTTAGAGAGTTACATGGTGAGAGATATGTTTCTTCTTTGAGGAAGAACTTGATCTCGATTGGAGCTTTGGTTGGAGAGGGTTTTAGAGTTCGTATCAAGGACATGATTCTCGAGATTATGGAAGACTCTCGTATTTTGATGAAGGGTGTCACAAAGAATAACCTGTACTATTTGATTAAGAATACGGTGATAGGTAGAGAGCTGATGGTTTCTATTTATTCAACTAGACTGCGGTATTTGAGGCTTGGTCATTCCAGTATTGATTTGTAAAAGGGTGCATCGACTTGCAATTTGAAGTCCAGTGAATATTTTGATATGAGCAAGAAGACCAAAGTAAAGTTTGACACCTCTATTCACCGCACGAAGGGTCTTTTCGATGGAGTTCACGTGGGAATTTGGGGGCCTTCCAAGGATGCATCATTGGGAGGTAATAGATGTTTGGTTTCCTTTGTTGGTGGCTATTCTAGGCATGCTTGGGTTGCAACCAAATCAAGATTGGATAAAGTCATAGTAGTCTCCAACAGATTGAAGAAGTGTGAGATTGGCAGAAAGGTGAATGTACTTCATTCTGATTTTGGTATGAGGTACAAAAGGGACATATTTCTACATTTGAGTCGAGCTCACGGTATTTAAAGACACTTCGGTGGAAAGAAAATCTTAGGACAACGAGATGAGATGGCAGATTGGGTGAGCTGTTCCTTACTGGAGGAGGATCAACGTTTGATGTTGAACATTGATTCTGGTGTTAAGGCTTCGACATATTTGGGTCATCTTAGTCATAGGTTGTCGACTGCTGCGATTGGAGG